TAACTTGACTATACAAACACGCACTCATTTACACAGCAGTAAGAACGTACTGGATGGAGGGCTAAAACGTATGTGCGCAGAACGATAGAGTGAATATACTTCTTTCCTCTTTATGACGCGAATGCCGCAACGAAGTAATCAATTCCTACGAACCAATTAATCTAGAAAGCACTATCTAAAGAAAATTTGATAAAATATCTAAGCGCAAGATGTCGCTGCTCACACAAGACGAGCGGTGCGATGACAAAGGCCTTAGAGATGTAGTGATGGCCTTTCGTCATGAAACCGTATACAGTTTGCGCACACTTCTACAAGACATGTGTGCAATTCGTCCTTACATAAATAAATAAATAAACATAGAAGGCGAAAAAAATTAACAAAAAAGACTTTTTGCACAACGATAAAGCAAATGTACAAGACTTCTCGCTCGCGGTCTCCATGTACTATCACCCTGTCATTAGCAGTATGATCTACAATATCAGTCATTTTCGTTCAATGAATATATCTGTAATTCGCTGATGTGAATGTGACGTATTGAACTGCCATAGATACCTTTCAGTGCGATGGTTTAGTGTTATCAATGCGTTTGCGCTTGACAACTGTTTTCGTTAGCCGCTGTGACCTTCGAAAGGAAACTTGAGAATTCCATTTCATATCGCACGCAACTGCACATTTGTTTAAGCCGGTGGCCGCCTTTATTGAAGGGCCCCTAAAACTCCACCGATTTCAAGGGCGAAACAGTAGTTTTTTTTCCTCGCCTTCTTGGCCCTTCTTACAAGCCTTATCTCCTATTCGCCTCTTATTGCTTCATAAAACACGTAGAATGTCAGCACTAAACATTGAGCCAGTCACAATTTGGCGCTTTTCGTCAACACGCTGTCATCTTGCCTTGCAGGATAGTGAACACATGAAACAGATTGAAATCAGTTTATCGCGCACAATAGTCGCGCGAGGCAACGGCAGAACAGGCGTGCGACTGCATAGCGCAACGGGGTGGACGACAGATGTCACTCGTGTGCCGACCAATGGAGAGCTTATCTCATCCTGACGTCACACGTCAACCAACGGATGACGTGACGAATCGCGACGCTAAGACGGGGAAACGCCGGCAGAGGACAACACGCTTGTTATTCATACTTTCGGAGGTTATTTTAGGGGCCCTTCGAGATATGTTGCGTGTTAGCGATCGCCAGCAAAATCCAAAAACAATCTCTAAAGCATCGTGGCAATAGCTTCAACAAAAATAGTCTCAGGGTGACAAGGACCGTCTCACGTGAACCTTTCGGCTTTCATACGTCAAGAAAGTACTGGAGGCGAACGCGTTAGCAACGCCACCTACATCACCAACCAAGGGACGCCGGCCTAGGTCCAGAAAGCCCGAGTGGCCAGCGGGCGCTAATTCGGTGGGCACGGGACGCAGCAGCGGCTGTTGGAGCTCTGGGCTGAGAGCTCCACCCCGACATTTCTATATATGATTGAAATAAAAAGTTTCTCTCCCTCTCTCTTGGCTGCCAGACTTACGACGTTTAATTTCCTTTCTGTCCCACGTTCGAATACGCGGAGCCTTCCACGCCAACCTTCGACAGCAAGCAAACGTAATCGCATTGCGCAAACTGCTTACGAAACGCGTGCTCACTTCATACCCGCGTAGATCTTCCATCGTACACCCACGATTGCACACCTTCCAATTGTAGATCATCAACATAAATAGACTTGATGGATCGTGGGAGGAACTGCCCACAAGCAGATCGTAAGCGAAAGCCCTACAGCAAACATAAGCATTCACTATCTGCAAACGATTTTTTTTTTCTCATGAAACACAACGCTTCGCCATAGTGCGCTGGTAGTAAATATACGTTTTCCTAGTTTTTTTTTTTGTCACGACGTTAGTTCATGATGTCACAAAACGTGGGATTCACCAACCAACCCAACCATTTCCGAGGGAATGGGTCTAGCGTAGCACTGTTCGTTTAGTTCTCGGAGATAGAAAGTGCAAGGTTAAAAGCCCAGTATGGCGGCACCAAAACTGATCCATGAAACAGTACGTGCAACATCTCTTAGGTGTATTTGAGTTTCCGTGAACTCATAAAGGAATAATAGCTTAGTTAATGCTGCCACTTTCATTGAAATCACGTTAAGAAGTGTGAGCTGGCTTGTTCCAAGACACCTGCCAATTCAGATTATATTATAACAATGTGCCGACGCCGTATGTGTGGTATATTAAAGTGTGCTTTAAAACGCGACCTCTAAGGAATTGATTGTGTAGCCTGTCGACAATGATAGCTCTATAGTCATTTTCTTTAAAAATAGCTGCGACAATGAGACTCATCACGCTACCTTGCAAACAGGAAGATACCAGCAGAGCAGTTTCATCCTTGACATTGCAGTTTAAAGCGTTTCTTGTGAATATAAACTAAAAAAATTCTTATATGCATGTAACTATACTAGGCAAAAACGGACCTTTGAGGAGAGGAGAGGAGAGGAAACTTTATTAGAACTTGGCCGGCAGCTTGGTCTTGGTGGCCTCAGATGGCGGCGCTGAGTCCCTGAACTCGGGCGGCATCTTCGGCCTGCCGGACAGCCCAGAGCTGGTCGTTGAGCTCCGAGCTTCTGAGCGCCGCCTCCCAGCGGCGGCGTCGCCGACGGAGAAGGTCCCCCGCGGCTCCCGCAGACGGGACGGCGGCGGGAACGAGTGAGCTCGAGGCTTCCTGTTGCCTGGTATTGGCAGCCGCCATAGGCGCATCGCGAACGGCGGCCGTTTCTCGACCATTGTTACCGGCGCATTCCCAGAGCATGTGGCGCAGCGTTGCTCTGCGCCCGCATGCTTTACATAGATCGGTAATGTGTAAGTGCGGGTAGCAGTGGCGTAAGACGACCGGGCTGGGGTAAGAGTGGGTTTGTAGTAAGCGATAGCTTACGGCATCGTGTCTGTTTAATTTGTCATGCGGTGGCGGGAACTTTCGCCTTTCCAGTCTGTAGTGTTGCGTAATATCTCGGAACGTGATGAGACGATCACCCCACGACCATTGTGGTCTGTGTTGTCGCTGCGTGTCTGTCGAAGTGTCTCGATCCGGCAGATCAGAAGCCCCGTTCTCGGGAGCGGAGGCGGCGGCCACGGAATGTGCCGCGGCTCGGCGAGTGAGACCTCGAGCCGCGGCGTGGGCCGCCTCGTTGCCCGGAAGCGGGACATCGGTGTGTGCCGGGGTCCAAAGGAGGAAGACTGTTAAATTTTGTTGTGGCGATCGCGACGCTGAGTCACCATCACCGCACATCTTAAGGATGCGGGCCGCTTCCCGCGAGACGCGGCCGCGCGCGAAGCCGCGGATTGCTGCCTGCGAGTCGCTGATTACGATCGTAGCCTTTGAACAACAATTATTTGTTCCATAGTATCAACCATTTTGTCTGTACTCATGTGTGGTATCCCCTTATTATATACGTCTAAGTATATCATAATCGTGTGAATAATCATATTTCTGTATATATTCATATGCGCATGAGTGAACTTCAGTGGCGAAAAATTGGGCATCCAAGTTTAAACCAAGGTCACACGACTTCGGTGTTCCTGATGTGCCACCAGAACATGCCCGATGAATTAAGTGAAACTTCATACATAAAACCGATACCCTGAATGGCTTAATTATGTAATTAAGTGTACGAAATGGTAATGTATAAACCGAGTGCTTCCGTCAATTGTATATTTTTGTTTAGATTTTCTATTTTTATGCTTATCTTCACGTAATAAATCATGGCTAACTTTAAAATATATTATACGAAGTAACATGACACTCTTACAAAATTTCATTGCGAAACTGAATGCAGTTTCTGAGATTATTCATTAAAGGCTACGTCTCCTTATGACGAATCCAATGGAACGTCAACAAACCCTCTTGAAATTCTAGAAACGCTGGCGGTGAGTATGTCGGTTAGATACTTCGCTATGGTATGAATCAAACAGAAGAAGTTATTGAATCCAGAATGTCTTTTTTTTTTTTTTTTGATGCGACAAAGTTGTGAGAACCATGAGACCGGACAAGGGATCGTATGGAAACGCGATAGCAGTCAACTTCACGTGAACGCTTGGACTGGTAAATATGTGTCCTTCCCTGTAGATACAGCTGTGGACAGTTAGCCCACTATCACCGACATTTTTCTTGCTTTTGCTGCGATCTTAACTTCGATTACTGTCGCAAAACGGGAGCTCGAATCAACATCAAGAAATCATGGAGCATACACTTTCTTTTTGTATCCAAGCCAGGCCGCTTATACATTCCTTCACAAGTGAAGTGTGCAAATGGAATTTAGAGGTTTGCACGAACCTAGAGTCCGTGTCGTAAAATCCGGAAGGAATTGTGCGTTTTGCTAAAAAAAAAATACGACGAGATTTCATTCCTCGAAGAAGCTGCTCCAGCTTTCGTGCTAGTACACACACCTAGCTGACTGTTTCGCGGAAAAGAAAAAAGTGAGCTTGCAGCCGTGAATAAAGATGCGCGCGAACAATCTTAAACACCTGCGCTTACTCTGGATTCGGTTGGTGTCTCCTTAAGTGGGTCCGTATTTTCGCCGAAGCAGACAGCAAACTTGGTGTTTTCTTTGCCGCGAAGAATACGAAAAGGCTGTCGTCATAATGTGTTAGAGTAGTGCAAAATAACGCGAATTAGTCGCTTTGCTTCCATGGAAAGTCATTCTTGAGATGTACAGTCCCAATCAATACGAGTCACAACACGCCTACCGTAGTTAAGGGAGCCCAGAGGCTGAACAGTCACCTCGTGAGCGTTAAATTGGGTTCAAGAATACCATTGACTGACTAAATTTCAATTCATTATTTTTCGCTGTGTTGATTGGCGACGCTTTGCAGCATTGGCACCATTTTGAGCATGGGCAACATTTTGAAACTCGTGTTAGGCGTGACTCTACACCGTTCTTTCTAAGTACGTATCCATTGTTTCGCTCTTCGAGCGAATTCGTAATAAGCGAATCAACGAAACAGATGAAACACTTACGTTTTGTTCTGTTAGGTACTCCCGCCTACAAGCGGCTCAGGCGTTAAAGTATCCGTCTGGATTCCCGGCGTGGCAGTTGTTGTCTGCTAGCACGTTTTTTTGCGTCGTCTGCTACACCACCAATAGTCGCCTCCCTCGAATGTCGTCTGCTACCACTGAGCCATACGTGACAGTTCACACAGTTTCGCGGGTGACAAGCGTCAAAGCATCTTCGAGCAATGCGCCGTTCCAGCTTGCGCGCCCCGAACACCAACGCGCACAACGCCCAACTGTGTGAGGAGACCGCAGAGCGTGAAGCCAGCAACGAGCCAGAAGAGAGAAAGAATGAGAGAGAGAGAGAGAGAGAAAAAAATGAGGCGCCAAAGGAGAGGGCCCATGCCGGCCGCAGCGGAGTACGCCGTCGGCGCGTACTCCCTGCGCGCGACGGGGCGCAAAAAAGGAGTAAAAACAGCAAAGCGAAATAACGGGAGAAACTGGTTGCTCCTCGCGCGTCGTCTGCTCGCGGGGCCGCCATTTTCGTTTCGGTTCCGGTTTATCGTTTGTTTGACTGCTTTTATCATCTCCAGCCCGTGACGTCCAGTCATTCTGACTGGATCTTTGTTTCAGTTTCTTGTTTTCACCTGTTCCGTCGCTTTCGTCGTTCGTATTTAGCGCTTATAACCCGTGACGTCACGGGTGCCCATCGGAGCTCGGCCGAACGACGACGTGCGTGTGGCGCATGCCTTCGGCTTGTTGTTGTCGTCTGCTACGCGCTCGGCAAGAAATAAAAAAAGTGCTGCCATGTTTTTTTTTTCTTTTCTTCGTTTTGCCTGTCTCTAGTATCGCTGAGACAAGGTTGCGCCGGCGTAGGTGGCTTGTGGCTGTGAGTGCTGTCTGACTCATGAATGGTGGGCACGCCGCTTGTGACACACGCGCGCTAAATGTTACTCGCCAAAAGGTCCGGCTCTACTATTTTCGCTGCGTTTATTTTTTTGCTTCTTCGTTCTCCAAACACCTTCGTCTTGCGCAACGCCGGCGCTGAGTCGTCTGCTGCGCTTAAACTGACCGACTAAAGTCTGCCGGATGCGCTATTTCTTCATTTCACTTATTTAATTTATTTTACTCTCAGGTCGCATAACGGCGTTGCAGAGGTGGGTGGGTTACAAAAATAAAAAAACGTAAAAAATGCGGCATAATAATGAAAATGCATGTTCAAACAAACTAAGCATGATAGGTTGAAGACCAAATACCCAGCTTCGTTATCAATTGGAGTGATCTCTTCGACTTGTATGTCTTATACAGTAAACATTACACGTCGGAAACTTCGAAGCCACTCATACGATGCCTCCTGGTTGACCGGTCATGAACCCAAACCACCAGAACCGATGGATGGCCCATGCAAAACGGCCTCAGATTCTGCAGCATTAGGCCACGGGAGCAGGCGAATCGTGACCAGAAGCGATGCGCCCACCTCAAGGCCTAGCATAGCTGCTGTGGCTCGAAAGCCGACAAAATTGATCTTCCCATTGTCCCGAATCTCTTCGCACTCGACTGCAAATGAGGACGCCTTATGTGCGTGCTGTGATTGCCACCACTCGCACGTCTGCCACTGTAGGTATACAGTGCGCATGCGCACATTACAAAAGGTGCAGTTACAACTACTGACCTAGGGGTATAGTAAGATTTTGTCACAACACTTAGTGTGTACATGGAAACTTTATGTAGTGACTACACAGGCAGTAACTTCACTACCATGACACGATTCGCACTTTCTGCCTACAATGAAGCAGTAATGAGCCGCAAGTTTCCTACCGTGAAAAGCACAAATAAAAAAGTGAAACGTCATTTTATTGTACGTCATTTTTGTTCGACCTGGCATCCTCAAGTAACGATGCACTCATATACATGCACAAACAGAATATTAAGGATTTCACGTGACACAAACTTTAAAGTTGACACAGCAACTTTAAAAATGGACATACTTTGGGCTGGCACACATTGCACATGCGAGCTAATCAGAAACTTAAGACATACATTTCATGTTTTAAACACATCTTTGGTACCTTACATCTTGCGTACACGTGCGTCATGACTGATAACGTTGTTGGAAAAATATCGGCGAAGAAAACGATGATCTGTTCTGGTCTTTGGTACACGCGCTGACGGGAATATTGTTGACGCACAGCAGTAGTTTGTAAAAGGTTCAAAGAGGTTTAAGTGTTGAAATCAATATTCGCTAGATTTTCTGTTACTTTGCCAAATTCATTTTTAATTCAAATGCACCGCTTCTTAGTATTACAATACAGTTTATTATTGCACTACGATATTCGTCCTGTTTTATTTTTTTTTCTTTCTAGTAAATAGATGAATCGTAACCTTTTATCAAGGAAGTCGTTCATGAAAACTGTCCGGTTCTTGGCCAATACCCCAGCGCCACATACCCAAGGAACTTGGCTTCTTGCGCTGCAGCAGCCATCCACGGAATCGGGCTGCGGTTTATTGTAAACAAACCATGTTTCCACGCCTCAAGAGGCTTGATTCTCTTCAAGTAGTGCCTAAACATGGCCCCAAGGTAATCGCATTTTCGCTTACGGATACCGACTTACAGCCAGCTGCTCAACGCGGAAACCCAACATGGATGCTCTCAAACTGAAGCGTAAATCCGAGAGAGCTCAATTAACACGCGTTATGAACGAGGCAGAAGCAACGCCCACTCAAGAAAGCGTCACGGAAGAGTAGCTCTATAATGTCAACGAACGCCTCAATGAGCTTCAGACTGACTTGGAGGCCACGGACTGCGAAATTGTCTTTCTGCTAGCAATCGCGGAAGCAGGGGCAAAGTTCGACCAGGGTGTAGAATACATTGACGGAGCCCCCACCACGCCAGCGAATTTTAAGTATAGGCTACGCCAACTTCAAGATTCCCGGAACCATGCAATACCGGCAACACCTACTTAACCCGTGCCACGCACACCCCAGCCCGCCATCCAACTCCCGAAAATCCACCCCACGAAGTTCGACGTCCCACCGCAATCATGGGCACCTTTTGGGGGCAGTTTAATCAACTGATCCAGAACAATGGTGGGCTCACAGACGTAGACCGATTTGCGCGCTTACGTTCGGTTCTGACCAGTGACGTGGCATCGGCTATCGCCAGACTTCCAGCAACGGCAAACTGCTGCTCTGAAGCCCTGAAATTTTAAAGGCATGCTTCGCCAAGACCGACACCATCATTAAAGCTGAAATGCAGTGACTCATCGGCGTGCGACCCATGCAGCCCTTCAAAGATCTCTGAGGACATTGGTACCTTTATTCCATGGTCCGATCAGAGACGCGTTCCCTCAAGACTCTCGGAGAGTCGGAGTACTATTACTCCGCCACGTTCTACCCGATCCTGCTGAAGTCGCTTCCTCACGATATCATCGTCGACTTCAACAAGACAATCGGATGCCAACGTACAGAGGGACCCAGGACGGCACACCTAGAACAGAAGGCGATCATTCATTCTTCCTGTTTTTTTTTTTGTTCAGAGATGAGTAGTCTCACGAAAGAACTGTTCTGCACGTGTCTGCAAAGGGGCATATGTTGAAGTGCCAAGGTACAGATTTGCGCACTAGATCCTTCTTCGCGACATCAACGTTTCACAACTAAGTAAAAAACCACATCGGCGAAACCAGCTCTAAGAAAGAACGCCTGTTTTTTTGATGTGTGTGAGAGGCAAACACCCAAACACAAAGCAGTGCGACTGTCTGATTCCTCTCGATGAAAAGAAAAAAAAAACGACTGCTCAGGGCGGGTCGATGTTTGTAATGCACATTTCAACATCATTTGACGAAAAATTGCAGAAAGAGCGTAACGTGCACAAAGTGCAATCGACGCCATGCAGAAACAATGTGCGACCCTTGGTTGTGAAATTCGATCAACAGTCCCAAAACATCAACAGCACTGATGTAGCTAGAATTGATTGAAACTGCAGCTCTAAATGGCGCGTGTTTCTTCACACAGCTACTGCTTGGGTAGCCGGACAAGGGAACAAGTGCCTAGTTCGAGTTTTATTTAATGGGCGCAACCAGCGCTGTTTCATCACTGAGCACTTGGCGCAAATTTTATATTGTCACGTACTAGATCATGAGAACCTTACGATGGGATGTTTCGGAGGGCAACGTGTTGAGAAGACTTTCCAACGTGTGCTCGTCACTATAACTCGTCAGTGTAGTCAGACGCCACTATCGATCAAAGCCTTCGTCGCGACAAACATATGTGACCACTGTTCCACGACCACATCAACACTTCAATCGCAAGCTAAAACGGCAAGGCTATTACTTCTCTGATGTTGATCAAGCCGGAAGCCTAAACACGGTTGTTGTCTTGATCGCCAGTGAATGTTATTGGTCGCTTGTCACAGGAAGTGCGCTCAATTTGGTCAATGAACTCAGAGGAATGTAGGCCAACTTGAGATGGACATTACATGGCCTAGACACCTCTTGCACTAACATTGCAATGTCATGCATTGCAACGAGCTCATTGTACGACTAACCATAAGATCACAACAGAGAAATACGGAGAATAGGGAGTCGTGAGAATGAAATGCAAGTGGCGTAAGAGGACCCACAACGAAAACGCAAAAGCTGTCGAACACGCATCCAAACTGCAGTCAGAAGTCAACAAGACCACATGTGCCTCCATTATACACAGTAAAAATTTTTACACCCAGAAGGGTGTAAATGAGCTTGCCCCGTGGACGACACCCTAAGGGTATTAATTCAGCACCTTCCAAAAAGGGTGCTTTACCATGCACCCTAAGAATAGGGTGTACATGTAAAAAAAACTGTAGGGTGTTAAAAAACACCCTTAAGGAAGGGTGCCTTCGATGTCCATCACTTTTTTAGCACCCTCTGAGGAGGGTGCGAGAAGGGTGCACAAGGGTGTTGAGTGCCCATGGCAGGGGTGGCGAATACTGCCACCAATAGATATCAGCATGCACTGATTAAACACTACTTGAAGAAAGTGGTCCTGATTATCGATGGTGCACCACCTGTCGAGCTCCATTCATTGCGTGTGGGCAAAAATATAAACGCGTACAATCGTGTATGAACTTGTGCTGGATCTATATATACTTCAGTGTATATGCATAATGCGCGTTACAGAAAATGAAGCCTTGCTGCCCTTGCATATTGCGTTTATTTAATAGGCAAATAAAACATAAACTTTTCTTCTGCCACACAACTTTTTCACCAGATATACGTTCATGTATACGTACACTACACATGCAACACCTCAAATGTATATTATATTTTT